CAGGATCCCAGAAAGTCCGTGGCAGCTGCTGGCCTGCCTCTTTCCTGCCTGTGGCTTGGGGATATCGGAGTAGGTGGGCATCAGACCACCCCTGCACTAGCTCAAGCTGGTCTGTACCCTCTTGGAACTACCTGCAGATGCTCAGAAAAATCATTTGAGTATTGGTGGCCTGAGGAACATCCCAGAAAATGGGGCAGGGGAAGACCCCCATCTACCATGGAGAGAGGGCCAGAAAGATGTTAAGAGGGAGATGGAGGAGAGAGCTCTCTGAGGGGGTAGAAAGGACATGAGGGACTGCAGCTTGAGAATAGGGGCCAGGGAGCAGCTGACCCTGAAGCCTCAGGACTCTGGGATTCATGTGTCTTGGATGCTACCTGTGTGTGTCTTGGTGACAACCTATTTTTTTGAGACAGGGTCTCCCTGTAGCCCTAGCTGGCCTGGAATGAACCTAGTTTTATCCCTGCAAGGCAAGTGCTCTACCAGTGAGTTACAAGTTACATTCCGGCCTTAAAAAAAAAAACTTTTAATTTGCTGGGCCCTCTGAGTGTCCACTTGTCCTGTTTTGTTGTAGTTTTTTTTTTTTTTTTCCCGGGTGATTCATTCTTCTCAACCCCCTTTACCTTACCCCATCTGCTAGGTCATGTCTCTCTACTTTGTTTTAGCTTGTTTTGAAACAGGGTCTCATGTAACCCAGGCTGGCCTCAAACTTGCCCTGTTGCTGAGGATGACCTTGAACTCCTGATCCTCCTGCCTCCTGCTGGGCTGACAAGTATGTGCCACCATGACCAGCTCACTTCCTCTTTGTATCTGGAAGCCACTTTAGAGGGTGAAGAAGGAAGAAAGGCCCCATAAAAGACTGGCCCCTGAGTGGGATGGACAGATGGGTGGGATGGGCAGAACAGAACAGGACAGATTTCAGGGAAGGGAGGGACGGGCATAGTTCGGGGGAGGGGGTTGACCTGGAGTGTGGCTGCTGGAGGTAGTGGGTCGTCAGGTGGCACAGGTAGGGACAAGTGGCTAGCTTGGTTTGTTTGGTGTGTGTGTGTGTGTGTGTGTGTGTGTGACCTTGGATGCCATCCTCAGGAACTCCACTCACCTCCTTAGAGACAAGGTCTCTCGTTGGCCTGGAGCTCACCAATTAGGCCACACTGGCTGGTCAGAGAGCCACAAGGATCCTCCCATCTCTGCCTCCCCAGCTCTGGGATTACCTGTGTGCCCCACCACATCTGGCATTTTTCACATGACTTCTGAGACTCAGACACAGGTCCATGTGTTTGCAAAGCAGGCCATTCACAGACTAAATCCTTCCCACCCACCCATGCCCCATTTAAAAACATTTTTACTTATTTATATTTATGTGTATGAGTGTTTTACCTGCATGTATGTAAACACACGTGTCATGCAATGCCATAGAGGCCAAAAGAAGGCCATAGAGCCCCTAGAACTGGAGTTATGGATGGTTGTTAGCTGCTATGTGGGTCCTGGGAACCATACCTAGGTCTTTGGCAAGAGCAGTCAGTGCTCTTAACTGCCGAGCCATCTCTCCAGCCCTGTCTCCCCCGTTTTTTGGAGGCAAAGTCCTGTAATGCAGATTGGCCTCCAACTATGAGGAAAAGGCTGTCCTTGAATTCCTGATCCTTCTGCCTCTACTTCCCCAGTGCTGGAATCACGGGCCTGTGCCACCATTCAGGAAAGTGGGCGCTTCCCCACCATTTCCCCCTGTCCCAGGCAATGCTGGCTAAGCTGAACTCTACCCCCAGAGCACATGAGACACCTCAGGAGGTGTGTAGGTGAGTGGACAATGGAGGGAAGGCTTATCTCGGAATCTGAGAATTTCCTGGGCTGTCTGACCATCAAGGTCAGACCCTCAACTTCCTCGTGGTTTATTGGGGATTTTGTCCTGAGGATGAAGGAGACCACAGAAGGCTGGTTTTGTTTTGAAACAGGTTCTTACTATGTAGCCCCAACTGACCTCAAACTCACTATGTGGACCATGCTAGTCTCAAACGCATAGAGATCTGCCTGTCTCTGCCTCTTGAGTGCTGGGATTAAAGTGTGCACCACCATACCCAGGGGCTTTGGTTTTGGTTTACTGTTAGTGGTGTTTCGTTTTGTTTTTTGCAACAGGATGTCAGGTAGATCGGGCTGGCCTCAGAATGTACTACATAGCCGGGGATGACTTGGAACTTCTGATCCTCCTGCCTCTACCTCTTGAGTGCTTGGGATGGAACTCAGGGCTTCCTGCATGCTAGGCAAGCACTCTACCGAGTCACCCGCCGAGCTCCACAGATGTTTCTGAACAAGTCTGGTTGTTAGAAGATTCCTCTGAGCCCTTGGGACTAGGTACTTCTGTGGGGAGGAATCCCTGCCTCCCTGGGGCCCCACCCCCTGATGTCACCGTCTCATTATTACACAGGGCCCGGCTGACCAATGGGCTGCAGCTTGCTGTTATAATGGGCCCTAGCAAGAGGGTGTGATCTTGGGTTAACCGGGGAGGAGACCCCACCAGCGGGAAGAGTGTGAGGGGACAGGGAGAGCCTGCAGGGCAGGTGAGACCCTGAGGGCCAAGCTCTCCAGCTAAGCCCTTTGGGTGGGTGCAGGAGGCCCAAGCTTCCACAAGTCCCCATCTCGACCCATCACACCTGAATGGTCTGCATCTCGCTGCTGGGAGCTGTGCCAGGCCACACTTGAGGTGGGTTAGGGAGGAGGCCCGGGACAGGGTCACTGAAGCTGGGGTAGGTAGATCAGATGTGGGGGCGGGCAATGTGGGTAGGGAGGGGTTGGGGTACTGCAGGGTCAATGGGAAGTGGGGACTGGCAAAGGCATGTGGCTGAAGGGACGGAGGGTGAAGGAGCCCAGGAACCTGGGCTGGAGTCCTCGCTGTGCCTATGAGTTGGGAGACATCCCTGTGTTGTCTAAGCCTAGATCCTTCTTGTCAGATGATGTGGGACCCTGATTCCAAGGATGTTTCTCTGAAGAGCTCTCAGCAAGAAATATTATTATTTGGGGGAGGGGTTGTTTGGTTGTTTGAGACAAAGTCTCACTGTGTAGTCTAGGCTGGCCTAGTAGTCCAAACTAGTACTATGTAACTCAGACTGGTCTTGAACTCACAATATAGATCAGGCTGGCTTGAAATTTGGTATGTAGCCCAGGCTGTTCTAGAACCTACTGTGTAGTCCAGGATGGTCTCCAACTCACAGCAATCCCCCTGACTCAGGCTCCCAAGTACTAGGACTATAGGTAACCACAGCTGAGTAAACCGAGTATATCTTAGAGGTGGTGGATGGGAGCAGGGTGTGTGAGCGGAAGGAGGGAGAGCTGGAACCATAGGATGTGAGGAAGAAGGGATGTGAGAAGACCCCATCAGGAAGGGGGCAGGAGATATGAGCAGTAACAAGCCGAGGAGGCAACGGACTTGCCCTGGCAAGGCTGGGGTTCGATGGGAAGGATGGCCTGGCTGCTCCTATACCCTCAATTAAGAATGTCTTCAATATTGACCTAGGATGATAGGTCCAAGAGCCCTGTGAAGTAGACAGATAATCTCACTCTGGCACAGAGGAGGCAGCCAGGGCTCAGGCGGGCAGGGACTGAAAGTCACAATCCATAATTGGTATGGCAGTGCTCTTGTTATCCCAACACTTGGGAGGCTGAGGTAAGAGAATTTGCTGTGGGATAAAGGCTAGCCTGGGCTCCACAGTGAGTTAGAAGCCAGCCTGGGCTCTATAGTTAGACCCTATCTTTAAAAAGGAACATCAGGGGCTGGAGAAATGGCTCAGCAATTAAGAACACTGGTTGTTCTCGCAGAAGACTGAGATCAAATCTCAGCACCCACATGGCAGCTAACAGCTGTCTGTAACTCTAGTCCCAGGGGATCCAACGACCTCTTCTGTCCTCCTCGGGCATTGCACGACATGGGTGCACTTACCTATATGCAGGCAATACACGCATACACATAAAATAAAAAATAATAAAAAAAATATTTAAAAAGGAACATCATAGGCCAGAAATATTAATAAATGATCATTATGATGCTGATGTTAATAATAGAGCACCTGCTGTATACCCTGCATGGTTTTAAGTGCCTCAAACTGAATTCTGCACAGTCCTAGGAGAGGCTCTGTTATGACATTACAGCCATATCTTACAGAAGAGGAGAGTGAGGCAGAGTTGTGGGAGCATGTGACAGGACTTGCTCAGGGCCAGAGTTCCCATCCCTGTCACTTGCTGCTGCCTCCTAGTGACTGCAGCAATAGAAAAGTAGAGACTTAGCTGGGTGTGATGGTGTATGCCTTTCATCCCAGGACAGCAAGTCCCAGGCCAGCCTGGGCTACATAGTAAGTCCCAGGCGGGTCCAGGCTACATAGCAAGACCACGTCTCAAGGAAACAACACAGACCAATATTGTAAGGATCATAGTGCTCAGCCCCACTGTGGGCACAAGGCACGTGTCACCCTTAAACCTGCCCCTTTCTGAGGTTACTCTGCAGACCCCTGGCAGAGCCTCAGGAGGCAGCTCTGTCATTAATACCATTACCTAGAGAAGAAAAATGCACAGAGTGATGCCTCATTTTGCCTCAGGTCACACAGCAAGTTAGTGGCCTAGGTGGGAAGTGAGCATGGCTTTTGACATTCCAAAGTCCTTTAACTCATGCCAAATGTACCCGGGTTTTTGTTTTGAGACAGTCACATGTAGCCCAGGCTGGTCTGAACCCTAATGTAGCTGAGGGTGACCTTGAATTGATCTTCCTGCCACCATTTCCCAAGTGCTGGGATTACACACAAGACTCATCATACTTTTTTTTTTTTTTTTTAAAGACAGGGTCTCGCTATGTAGCCCTGACTGTTCTGGGACTCACTATGTAGACCAGGCTGGCCTCAAACTCACAAAGATCTGCCTGCCTCCCTAGTGGTGGGATTTAAAGATGTGTACTACCAAGCCCCAGCACATTTAAGCTTTTCTTTGTTTTGAGACAGGGTTTCACAATGTAGCCCAAGCTGGTCTGGAACTCATGAAGGTCCTCCGGCCTCACTCTCCCCAGTGCCAGGATTACAGGTGAGGAACAGGACACCTTAGTTTTTTGAGGAAGAGAGAGGTGGGGTTCTAGAAGGTCTATAGTCATCATTTTCATATCTGTCCAAGGTTGCTAGGTGTGAACGGCTCCTTCTCCTCTGCAGACGCTGTGGGGTCACACTTCCCCTCCAACCATGGCAACCTCCAAGTTGCCAGCAGTGCCTGAGGAGGAGACCACCATCCTCATGGCCAAGGAAGAGCTGGAGGCCTTGTGCTCGGCCTTTGAGTCAGGGGACATCCCTCAGGCTGCCTCCCGCCTCTGGGAGCTTCTGGCCAACTCTGAAAGCACCCGGCTGGAGGTGGGCATCACTGGCGAGTCTGGGGCTGGCAAGTCGTCCCTCATAACACTTTGCGTGGCGTGGGGGCCGAGGATCCTGGTGCAGCGCTCACAGGTGTGGTGGAGACCACCATGCAACCCTCGCCCTACCCACACCCACGGTTTCCTGATGTGACCCTGTGGGACCTGCCAGGGGCCGGTTCTCCAGGTTGCTCAGCAGACAAATACCTGAAGCTGGTGGATTTTGGCCGCTATGACTTCTTTCTGCTGGTCTCTCCCCACCGCTGTGGGGCTGTGGAGACCCGCCTGGCCGCCGAGATCCTGCGCCAGGGCAAGAAGTTCTACTTTGTGCGAACCAAGGTGGACCAGGATCTGGCTGCCACCCGCAGCCAGCAACCCTCGGGCTTTAGCGAGGCCATCGTCCTGCAGGAGATTCGAGACCACTGCGTGGAGAGGCTGCGGGCGGCTGGCCTGAGTGATCCCCGCATCTTCCTCGTGTCCAACCTGTTCCCGACAGGCTATGACTTCCCAATGCTCATGTCCACCTGGGAGCATGACCTGCCTGCCCACCGTCGCCATGCCGTCCTGCTGTCCCTGCCCGACATCTCGCTGGAGGCTCTGCAGAAGAAAAAGGACATGTTACAAGAACAAGTGCTGAAGACAGCCCTGGTGTCCGGCGTCATCCAGGCCCTGCCCGTCCCAGGGCTGGCAGCTGCCTACGATGATGCCCTCCTTATCCGCTCTCTGCGTGGGTACCACCGCAGCTTCGGCCTGGATGATGACTTGTTGGCCAAGCTGGCAGAACAGGTGGGCAAGCAGGCAGGTGACCTACGCTCTGTCATCTGCTCGCCGCTGGCCAACGAGGTCTCCCCAGAGAGGGTCCTGCGTCTCTATTCCCAGTCCTCGGATGGTGCCATGAGGGTGGCCCGTGCCTTTGAGCGAGGCATCCCTGTGTTCGGTACCCTGGTGGCTGGGGGCATCAGCTTTGGCACCGTCTACACCATGCTCCAGGGCTGTCTCAATGAGATGGCTGAGGATGCCCAGCGTGCCCGTATCAAGGCCCTGGAGGAAAATGAACCCCAGGTAGAGGTGAGCTTGGAGGCAGCTCGTGACAATGGTGTGGAGAAGCCAGGATCCGGGGAGGGAGGTGGCGAGGAAGCCCCCCTCTCCACCCGCAGGAAGATCGGCCTCCTCCTCAAGTATATTCTTGACATCTGGAAGAGGCAAGACTTGTCAGAAGAGAAATAAGTGCAGCCCCCCACCCCTACCTCACCCACAAACCAAGCCCTTTTAACAAAAACCAACCAGTCAACCCAATAAGGCTGCTGTGATCAAACTGAGAGCTGCACTTTGGCAAGACCCTGGTGTATCTGTAGGGTGGACAGGGTGGGTGTGGACAGTGTAGTTGGAGGGACAGGAGGGAGGTGGGCAGAACCTGGTCTAAGGGGTTAAATACTGAATGGGATAAAACTTGACCCTGGGGGAGGGGGTGATGGGGGGTGGAGATGTGCCAGGGCTCCTTGGTGGTCTCTCTCCTTGCTCCCATGTGGCCAAGGGACACTGATACAGCAGAACAGTGCAACATGGTTCCAGGATGGGAGCTGTCAGCTGCTGGAGAGACTGAGGGCTGGTGGATCTTACTGAATACAATTTGGTGTTGGGGATGGATCTAGGGTTCCATGTTAAGCACTTACCTCTCTGAGCTGCATCTCTACTCCTAACACTTTTTTTTTTTTTTTTGTCTTTTTGAGACAGGGTCTCCCTGTAGCCCCAGCTGTCCTGGAACTCACTATGTAGACCAGGCTGTCCTCAAACTCACAAAGATCCACCTGCTGCCTCCCAAGTGCTGGGATTAAAGGTGTGTGCCACCACACGCAGCCCTAATACTTTTTAAGTTTCAATCTCTTGTCCTAATCTGACAACTCTGATATCCCAAAGGCCAAATCCTGAGAGATAGTTAATAGGTGCCTGGGACTGACACAGAGGCAGGACACAGGGCATCTTGGTTCGGCCTTGATGTCTAGGAACATTAGTGGGCAAAAGTAACAGGGAAGAAGGTGAGACTCTCCTCTGTGTGTCATGGAGAATGTAGGGAAGACACAGTGGCAGAGTGAGGGGCCATGAGCTGCTCTGGAGGAGAAGAGAGACAGAGGGCCTCACTCAGAAGCCCACACTGAGCCTTTCAGGCCTATAGGTGCCGGGGGTCCGAACCAGCGACCCCTAGGGGAGGTGATGATTGGGGATGAGTAAGCACGCCGTTCGCCAGCCCACGCCGCCCCCATTACCCGGGGACACTCAGACGCAACGGGGAGTCTAGTCAGCAGGGACTCATTTATTGCAGGTGTTACAGAGCTTATAAAGGCACCTGGAAATCCTCCCTCCCCCCTGAGGGTGTATCTTAAGGATGGTCATGCGCTGATCATGCATGATTCTTCAGACTTTCAAAGCAAGCCAGGCCACACCCCCAGTAACTTCCTTTCGGACCTATTCAAGGTGGGGCCTTTAGGTCCCCACAATAGAAATCTGGGGTGTCTGATTGGGAGAATATTTGTTTCCAGTGAATTATACCCAGAGCCTCACCCCTGCTAGATAAGTGCTCTACCACTGAGCCACACCCCAGCCCCTTACTGGGGGATTCTAGGCAGGTGCTCTACCACTGAGCCACACCCCAGCCCCTCACTGGGAGATTCTAAGCAGGTGCTCTACCACTAAGCCATACCCCAGCCCCTCACTGGGGGATTCTAGGCAGGTGCTCTACAGCTAACCTACAGCCCCATCTAGAAGAATCCTGTAAGCTTCTACAATTTTGATGCAGTGGGTCTAGGCCTGTGACAAAACACATAAGCTTGAGGGTTTAAGGATCTCTTTTGGCTCATAGTTTCAGAGATTTTAGCCCATGGTAGTTGGTTTCATGGCTGTGGCCCTGTGGTGAGGCAGAACATCCTGGCTCCAGGAGCATATGATGGGTAAGGCTGGTCACTTCATGGTACCCAGGAAGAGGCCAGGGATAAGACATGCCCTTCCATTTCTCCAGCCACCTATTTCCTCTAATCAGACCCTAAATTCTGCAGTTCCTACCACCTTCCCACACACCGTTCAGATTTTATTAAGGAAATAATCCAATGATGCCTTCAGCTCCTCATGATCCAATCACTTCCTAAAAGACCTACCTCCAGATATGAGACAAAGTCTCATGTACCCCACCCTAACATTGAACTACATCTTGGAGGATGATCTCATTGAACTTCAGCTCCTCCTGCCTCCACATCTGGAGTGCTGAGATCACAAGTGTATACCACCATATCTGGTTTATTCGGTGCTAGGGATAGTGCACAAGGCTTTGTGTATGTTGGGTGAGCATTCTACCAGCTGAGGTGCATCCCCAGATCTCACAGCTGTCAATACTGCACTGAGGACCAAACATTACACATAGGAGCTTTTGGGGGGGGGGCTTAAGATCTAAAACCCAACAGTATGGCTGAGAGTGGACAGCAGGACAGAGGGAGACTGTGTGTGATGGGGGCATGTCTGAAGGCAGAACAAGGTTCAGAGTGATGGCATGTGTACCACAGGGTAAGGCCATGGGGCACAAGTGTCCCAGTGAGACCAGGCTCCTGGGTACTTATTAGGGGAAATTCCCTGTGCTGCTCTCTTGGAAGTGGTGATGGGGTGTGTGTGTGAAAAAGTGCTTCTGACACTTGCCCAATCCTGAACTCTTAAGGAAGAGTTAAGGAAGGCTTATAATAGTTTTTTTTTTTTTCAAACTAACAAAGGCTGGGCATGGTGGCACATGCCTTTAATCTCAGCACTTGTGAGGCAGAGGCAGGAGGATCTCTATGAGTTCAAGGTCAGCCTGCTCTACATACCAAGTTCCAGGTCAGCCAGGGCTATATAGATGTTGCCTCAAAATAAAAACAAAATACATAAAACACACGCACGCATGCATACATGCACGCACACACACACACAAAACCATTAGAAGGGATGGGTGAGGGAAGGGTGGAAGAAGCCAGGGTTACCCACAGGGCTTCTGCAGACTAGGACAAGGGTCAAGGAATGGTTGGGTTTGGGTGCAGGACAGAGCTGAGTTTCCTGGATAGTTTTAGTTACTTTTCGGTTGCTGTGATAAAACACCATGGCCTATGGGCTGGAGAGATGGCTCAACTGTTAAGAGTACTGGCTGCTCTTGCAGAGGACCTGGGTTCAATTTCCAGCAGCCACATGGTGGCTAACAACCATCCATTACTCTGGTTTCAGGGGCTCTGAAAACCTCTTCTGACCTCTGCAGGCATTGCACGACATAGGTGCACTTAACATACATTCAGACAATACACATAAAGTAAAAAAGGAAATAAAAAACCTACCGAGGCAACTTAGAGAATCTGACTTCCGGTTCCAAAGGAATGAGCCCACCATAGCAGAGGAACGTGGTGGCAGGAGGGTGACTGGAGCAGGAAGCTGAGAGGTCACATCTCCAATGGCAAACAGGAAGCAGAGAGAATGAACCGGAAGTGGGGCGAGGCTAGGACCTCTTAAAGCCTGAGATGTCCTCTAGCAAGACCACACCTCCTAAAGGCTCCATGACCTCTCTCAAACAGTGCCACCAACTGGTGTTCTCATACCTGAGTCTATGTGGGGACCTTTCTCATTCAAACTACCACAAGGGGGCAGGTTACAGTGGAAGCAAAACGATATGGGCAGAAGGGCAGGTTCTGGTACCCACTGCTTAGCAAATAAAATGTTACCTGGGAGAGCTGCTGGGAGGGCAGGAACCTCGCTGAGCTTTAGGGGCCACGAGTAGCTGATCACTGCCCACCGTGGCCAGCTTAGAATGGGCTGGACAAATTTGAGAAGGACCCATCTTCCCAAGCTGTGGTCTGGGATTGTGATAAAATGAGAACTGATTTGTGTTTCATGGACTGCAGAGGAGCAGGGGCAAGGGCAGGTCGATGAATTGGAACAACTTTCCCATGACTACCATTGTTGGGGGAGAGACTGAGGGTATTGGGCAGGTGGGGGAGGCTCATGTTTGAGCTGTGGAAGTCTGGGGAGCAGAAACAGAGCCTGGCTGGCTGGCCGAGCTCCAGAGGTGGCCGTAATGGGAGAAGCTGAGTTCTCTAGGCTCTGCCTCCTGCACCATGCTGGGTTGCAAAGGACTGCCAGGCCAGGATCCAGCCTGGCGGTTACATCATGGGAAACTTTCCAAACCCCACAAAGCTCCCAAGAAAGTTCTGGAGGCTGTGCACAAGGCAGGTGGCAGACAGAGATGTGGGACAAGGGAGCTGGCCTCACCCAAGTCAGTCCCATCTGTTCTCTGAGGATTTCCAGATCTGGGGATGAGTCTAACCTCAAGTGATCCAGCTCTAACAAACAGCCCCAGACTGAGGATCCCCTTCCTCCCAGGATGATATGGGGTGCTGACTCCTCTTGCTTTGCAAAAGGACTTCCTATTAATTCATTTAATCTCTGTGTGTGAGCACCTGTGTCACAGAGAACACATACAGGTCAGAGGATAATTTAATGGAGTCAGTTTTCCCCTTCCACCTTTACATGGGTTCTAGGATTTGAACTCAGGTCTCCAGGCTTGCACACAGCAAGCATCTTTACCCAGGACTCTCCTCTTCCCAGGAGCCTCTCCATTGGTTCCTTCAGTATGACTTGGGGTTCACATGGCACTTTCTGTACTAAAGGGGTAGAAAAAAAACCTAGACTTGGCTAGGAGTGGTGGTACATACCTATAATCCCAACAGTTTGGTGGCAAGAGGATCAGGAGTTCAAGGTCATCCCCAAATATACAGAGAGTTGGAGCTGGTTCAGTGTTAGGGTGCTTACCTAGCATGCATGAAGCCCTAGATTCAATCCCTACAACTGTCCCCACAAAAGTGTGAGGCCAGCTTGGACTCTGTCACAAAACAAAAACAACCCCCCTACCCTGAAAAGAAAAGAAAAATCCCCAGACCCTCAGAGCTGAAGAGTTAGCTCAGTGGTTAAGAACACTGGCTGCTCTTACAGAGGACCCAGGTTCAGTTCCCAGCACCCAGCGAAACAGCTAACAACTGTAACTCTAGCTCCAGGGGATCTGATGCTCTCTTCTGGCTGCCTTGGGCACCAGGCATGCACATGGTACACATACATACATACAGACACATTAAAAAAACAATTCCCAGACTCTCAGATAGTCCTTCCCAAATCTAGGCTCCAAACCAGCCCACGTATGCTGACATTCCAAACCCCAACACCCTGGCTCT